CCCCCCCCCCCCCTCCACCAGTACGGGTGTACTATCTGTACCTGTTCTATGTATTCTGAATTTCGCTCGCAAATTGCAAGCACTGGTTGGTCAACGTGGTCACCTGACGGCACTGACCAATGAGAAGTGCTTCTTAGCACTGCTAAATACGGTTTTGGTTAACATAATTTTTTTCTTTTATCAGGACAAGTAGATTGTCATGAAGGACAAGTAGATTCGGCCCCCGCTTTAGTCCTTGGACAAGTAGTTTTTTCCAAAATTTCCACACCCCTGCACCCACAATAACGCAGTCTTGGATATCTTCAATAATATTACCGTTCTGTCATTTGTACAAGTTTATCTGTAAATGCCAGCTTTTTAAGGCATGTTGAGCTTTTGGCAAAATGCTTCAACCACCACTTTCATTGATGAAATAACTTCCAAAATCTCCTGTGTACAGTGAAATAGAGAAACGATGAATGTTTCTGCAAAAGACTCACAAGCTGCTAGACATGAAAAGTGCACAATATCCTTGTATAATAAATTGCTCCAGTACAATGCTTGGTGTTGATCACATATAATATTGCGCTCTACCTTGACTTCCCCATGGTAAACAAACCTATAGATCCAGGAGGTCCTGCATTTTATAAGGGGTATAATCTTAGTACTAGGATTTAACAGGAGAGAAAATAATATACACATATGACTCCCATAAACTGTTTTATGTTTGTTTTTTGCTAATACAAAATAAAGTTCCAGATCACATCACTAATTTTGTCTGATTTGACATCATCAGCACTTGATTCTTGGAGTGCAGCTTTGTTTTAAAGTAGCCATCCCTGTAATCCCACTATCTGAAGGTGATTGTCTTGTCAGTACGACAGGTCCATTTGAAACAGTGGGGGGAATTTATCAAAACTGGAGCAGACAGAATCTCAAGCAGTTGCCTGTGGCAACCAATCAGCTTCTATAATTTTCAAAGCTTAACTAAACAAACAAAAGAAAGAAGCTGCTTGGTTGCTATGGGCAACTGCTCCAGATTCTGTCTGCTCCAGTTTTGATAGATTCCCCTCTAAGTATTTGCTTTGGGTAGGAGAAGATGGAAATCGTTATTATATGCAATTAACACTGTGCCGCTGTCAACACTGAGCGTATTTACTTTCATGTGTGAATTCTCCCTTTTATAACCTGTGCTGTCCATTGTTCATTTTTATGTCTTTCTCTCTTTTAGGTGAGCGCAAATGGAAATGTCTTGCGCAGTGAAATAGTTGGATCTATCAAAATGAGGGTGTTTCTTTCGGGAATGCCTGAATTACGCCTTGGATTAAATGATAAAGTTCTCTTTGAAAATACAGGTCGTAAGTAAACTAACTTCTTTATGTTAATGAATAACTAAGTGTGCTGAGCTCCAACAATGAGCAATACAAAAAAAACAATAAAAGAATCTGTGACTCAAATAAATGTCAGTGAATAAATAGTAAATGGATCAGATGTGAAGTCTGTAAATGTTCATAACTCTGAAGATGTCCATATATAAACTGCAATAGTGATGAATATTTCTTGTTCCTTCACCACGTGCACCACACCAGATATAGGGGTGCTCACCTTATTGATAGACCCCAACAAAAGGTCAAATCAGGCAATTCCCTTCTACAGGTATATTTGGTGAAGCAACAAGAAATATTCCTCACTATTGCTGTATATATATGGACATATCTTCAGAGTCATGAACATTTACAAACTTCACATCTGATTCATTTACTATTTATTCACTGACATTTGATTGAGTCACAGATTCTTTTATTGTTTTTTTTTTTGTATTGCTCATCGTTGTAGCTCAGCACACTTGGTTATTCATTTTTCATGTATACACACTCACAGTGGGTGTACATTCCAGTGCCTTGTAGCTGTTAGCTTGCTTATTAGCGCAGTTCATTTTTATATATATTTTTATTTATGTTAACATTTTACTAGCTATTTGCACAGCAAATTAATCTTGATGTGACTGGGGACCTTTTATTTATTTAACTTACAATGTTCTTGTCGGAAAGCTATTAAAGTGCTCTGCTGCTTTTGTCGCTGACATTTTAAATTGCCACTTTTGCTGCCTCTCTTTCATGGAGCTGTTCACCTCTGAATATGCAACCCACCTCATTAGGTGAGAGAGCATAACCAGACAGGTTATGGTGAGGGGGACTAAAAGGATCAAAAAAGCCCTTGGTTTGAAACATTTGAAGAATGTTATATCGTGCTTAGCCTCATTTTTCAAAATGGTTAAAAGAAATGTTTCTATGGTCAGTTGAGGGACACCGCTTTATGGATAAGTAACCAAAGTTTTACTGCCACCCACAGAATAAATGTACACTAGAAACTGAAGGCCAGCCCCTAAACTCCTTCCATCTCACACCTGCCCACTTAAGTTTAGTGTCCTCAGGAGAATGGATGTCTTCCTCTCTGCTTTAGTTTTCACTTGAATTGGAATACTTTTCTACTATCAACTGCTACTGGTAGAGTCATGTCAGATATTGAAAGTTTCTCTTGTTAGCCAATGCAGATGTTATTTAATAACATGAGCAGCCAGCACCCAAATGAAATACTCATTCAAAAAAGTTAACATACAAACTTTAAGTCGGCACTATATACCTGTGAAAATTGTGTAACTTCAAAGCAAATTCTAAATAAAGGATTTTGTTCACAGTGGATGTTTGAAAAAAGAACCTTTTATTTAGTATCTACATTAGTTACACATTTTTAAAGGTATTATATGCTGCACTAAGGTTTATACAGTATCTCACAGAAGTGAGTACACCCCTCACATTTTTGTAAATATTTTATTATATTTCATGTGACGACACTGAAGAAATGACACTTTGCTACAATGTAACAAAGTAGCCTCTACCATAATTGTTGTACCATGAAGCCTCTACCTGAATGTTGTACCATGTTTACCTCTCGGCCACTGCTTCTGGCAGACCAATTTCCTGTTTGCTTTTTTAGAAGGTCCAGAGGCTCCTTGGCTTCCAAATCTGTTATTTCTAGGTGGATACAACCTGTTGTTATACAGGTCTATGAGCTGTGAGATAAAGTGCCGCCTTTGGCCATTAAAATCTACTCCAGTAGGGCAGTGAGTACTTATTGGGCTTTTCATCATTAGGCCTCCTTGTCTCAGATCTGCAGTCGGTGATCTGGCCTTTACTTCACACATTTTCAAGTTTTACAGGTTAATCTATCTGCTTCTGCAGATGCTACGTTCAGCCTAAAGGTTCTATAAGTGGCTATTTAATACCCTGCTTTTCCCTTTTTTGTTTTGGGCATTTTTTTTTATTGGCTGGTTTCACCTGTGTTGTTTTGGTGTGCCTGCCCCCAAGTTTGGACTATTTTTGGACATACCTTGGTTGCTTATTATCGATAAACTTGGGTTCCTCAATGGTTGGTTGATGTTATAATAATATATATAAAATGTTTTATTTTTTCCTGGAGTCTGTTGAGGGACATAGCCATGAGTCATCTTTCCTTTTTTGCACTGCTTGCTACATCTGAGCAGGTGTCAGGGGTTATAACCTTTTAGGAGGCTGGCCTTCAGTTTCTATGTACCTAGAGTCCATTTCTCCCATCGGCGAAATTATTGGTTGCTTATCAATAAAGTTATATCCCCTAAATCAGTGCTCCCCAACCTTTTCATCGCCGCGGACCGGTCAACGTTTGATAATTTTACCGTGGGCCGCGGTAAAATTAGCGTTCAAGTGGCGAAGCAGTTTTGAAGGTTTCATTGCCTCATTAGAGAGCTGGTCGCCGCAAACTATGCAGAGCGGTTTTGGTGTGTGGGAATCACCTGTCCCGATAAATCCATATTTCAAGTAGGACTCGTGGTATTGTCTGTTTAAAAGTTACATGTTTCTTTGATGTTGAAGGCCCTTCTTCTGTCTCTTCACTGGGCCTTTTCTTTTTCCCAAGGAAACTTTCTAACGACGTCTGTTTCGTACTCATTTTTGCTAATTTGTGGGTTAAATTTGAGCAAATACAATATACACGTACACCAAGCACTGTTAAACATGAGAAAGTACCGGTGAACAGAGAGAAGAGCGATACACACCTTCTCTTTACCAAAGCTACAACGCCACTGCCGCTTGCAGCTGCTCAGCTCCAGACGTCACCTAAAACCGCCCCGATATCACGATATTTTGCGCATGCGCGGTATTGGTGCAGCTTTAGGTGACGTCTCTCAGCTCCCGGTTAACCTCTCGTCCTGGAAAGTCGGACAAACCCGAGAGAAATACACCACAGTAAATAAAATGGAAATAATTTAATGTTCCTTGGGCGGCCCGGTACCATTTGATCCACGTACCGGTCCCGCGGCCCGGGGGTTGGGGACCACTGCCCTAAATGGACACAGAGAAAAGGATTTTACAATGAGAACAAACATCCCATTAGTCTCCTTCTTTTGTAGAGCAACCTCATTCTCCATTCTAGCACATTTCAAAATTGTAGGGAGGAACTTTTTTTTTTTTGGGCAACAAAGATACATTTAGAAGTGAGGGTATAGTGTCTTTATCAGTTAATTACTCAGTTGTCTTATGATTTCATATACACCTTGTCATTGTGGCAGTGGCATACTTTTCATGCTAGAATATTTATGTTGGAAAAGTGCAAGTAACTCAATTCACTTGAGTTAATTTGTCTCTGATTTACATTCTTGTAGGTGGGAAGAGCAAGTCTGTGGAGCTTGAAGATGTCAAGTTTCACCAGTGTGTGCGCCTATCCAGATTTGAAAATGACAGGACTATATCCTTCATACCTCCAGATGGAGAGTTTGAACTCATGTCTTACCGCTTGAACACTCATGCAAGTGTCTTTCTATGTTACAAAATTGTATTGGCATGTGGCTTTACACTGTTCTGACATTCAGAACGCTATGTACTCAGAGCAGTGGTTATTTTTATAATCTTGGTTTTAAAAAAAAATTAAGTTCTGCTATAATATTATCTTAATGGTGCATGCACTGTTTTTTGGCAGCGCACAACGGTGCATGTTAGTGCATGTCTGTCACCATAAATGTTGCCACCATAAAAAAGGATGAGGGTAAATCACCTAAGTGGGACAATTGTTCTGGTGACAACTGTTGGAAATTCCCCTCACTTTGGGGATAATTCCTCTAATTTCCTGTTGCTGCTCAAGGGCAGGAAGGTAAGAAAAATCTACCCAATGGGACATAGGCAGCACCTCCCCTATGATATGCAAAACTAGGGGAAAAACTTCTCTATTGTTCTTTGAGGAACACAGCTTGATATTTAAGCAAGCTATGGGTTATGCCACCTAGCTAGCACATCCCCACCTCACACCTCCAGTTTTGCTTAGTTTGCTCAGGAGAGGGGACATGTTTTTTTTTTTTTTTTCCAGCTGTCCTGTTTTTTTTTCATTTGGAAGATTTTTCTTCTATCAACAGCTGCTGCAACAGCTCTGAATTCTTGAAAGTTTCTCCATCCAGCCAAGACGCACAGACTGTCCAGTTCATTTAGTATACTGGGTTGCCGCTCAATCGCTTCCAGAGGCTGGTGAAGAGTGCCTCCTCTGCGCCCGACCTTCCCACTGGCATCATGTACTATATGTTTGTGGAAAGCAGGGAGAGAGACTGGCAAATGTCTCGTGAGGGGGGGTTTAAATAATTTTTCAGGCCTTAAATGTGGATTATAACTGTGCAAAAAACACTTAGGCTGCAAAAGGGTTAAAAGTCAACAAGACCATAACGTATTCTTTGAGAAATTTTTTTTTTTTTTAGTGGACTTAAATGCCTTTTTGTTTTTTATACCATTCAGGTGAAACCACTTATCTGGATTGAATCTGTTATAGAAAAACATTCCCATAGTCGCATTGAATACATGATCAAGGTTGGTACATTTATTAGTATTGTAAACAATGTGCTTTAAACCATCGTTGACTAGATTTCCCTGTTTTACTTTTAAAAGTAAGAAAGAAAGAAAAACTATTGTAAAAACATTGGCATCTTGTCACTTGCCTCTCCAGTCTTGGTGTCTGCATTTGTCGGATACTAGGGGCTTTTTCGGTTTAATATTTAGTAAACCCTTGGCTTTATTTTCTGTTATATTTTCCTCATTACTTTTTTGTTTTCCTGATAGGAAAAGTTACCATCAAATGCTGCTGTCCCACAGGCAACAGATGACTCAACTACGTTGCATTCCAATTATTTTTTGTTTTGGCCATTTCTACTCCGTCACAGAGTTCCTAATATACCTGCGATTTTTCTCTGTTCTGAAAAGAGGGAAGATGTCATGCTGTGGTGATCTTAGTTACCTCCTGAACTGTTCTCCTTTTTCTTAGCCTAAGGGCCCATTCACACCATGTCCGGATCGGATGCGGTACGTTTCATGTTTCTTCTGCACCAAAAATGCATCCCAATGCATTTGTATGTGATTTTTGGGCTCTGTTCACACTAGTCCAGTCCGTTCCAGTGCAGGAAAAAGCGCACCGCACTGGAACGCAACAGAAGCTATGACCTGGAGCAGAAAGATTAATTTGCACAATGACATTACCCTCAAAAAAACAAAAGAAAATGCACTGGAACGCGTCACAAATGCATCACACCGCGTTTGCAGAAACGCGTGCAGATCTGGTCCGGACATGGTGTGACAGGGCCCTAAAGGGTGCATTGCAGGCCTTTAGAATGTGACATTACAGCTGGTCAGTGCAAGGACAGATGGTGGATTTGTAACTGTTGCTTCCTTACAAGCCTTACAATGTTGGCAAGCCACACTACTCTAAAGAGTAAGCAATCCCTGACCTTAAGGGGACCAGGAGATTGCCTCCCTTTACATAAGGATCTGCAAGCTTATTTTCTTGCTCCAGCTGTGGTAGCTGTCAGTTCTCATGCTCCTTTTCCCTGCAAATGTGAAATAGCATATGCACTATGGTCAGGCTTTATGGAAATAATTACCTTGTAAATATCCAACAGTTTTTTCTCAGTAGCCAAAACCTACATGTGTTCAACTCAGCGTCGCCTATTCTGGGCCTGTTTCAACTTTCCTGTTCTGCTTAGTACTATCAGCAAGATCCATTACTACAAGATCCATTCTGTGTCTCTGCACTAAACATTGTTGCTGACCTAGTACACCCCTTCATGGAAACGGTATTTCCTGCTGGCAGTGGCATCTTTCAGCAGGATAATGCACCTGCCACACTGCAACAATGGTTTAAGAAAGGTATGAGGGACACTACAATGAGTTTGAGGTACACTTGGCCTCCAGATCTCAATCCAAGCGAGCATCTGTGGGATGTGCTGGAAAAACAAGTCCGATCCATGGAGGCTTATAAGACTTAACTAGAGGTGCACCGAAATGGAAATTTTAAAACCGAAATAAAAACAATTGTCAGGCCCGAAACCTATACCGAAAATGTTTTTTTATTTTAATTTATTTTTTATAAACTTTTTAATTGTTTTATATTTTTATTAAATATTTTTACTTTTTGGGGCTTTGGGGAAATATTGGGGGTCTTAGCAGACCCCTGATATTTCCCTTTTTAAAATAGAGGACTTTGTGTCTTCAATCTCTTTTTCTATCTCTTTTTCTGTGTCCCCTGTTATCAGTGAACAGGGATCCTCTGAGTGTTCCTGTTCATTCATAACATGAGGACAGAGTATGTTTACTATATCCACAATCATGAATGAACATGAGGTGATGTAGATCACTTCCCATTCATTCATAATTGAGCATATAGTCCACATGCTATATCCTCAATTATGTACAAACACTCAGCGATCACTGAGTGTACCCGATCTCCTCTCTGACGCGCTGTCACAGGAGGCTGAGCGAGCGGTGTGGGAGGAGAGCTCAGCCTCCTGTGGAAGGGCGGCCTGTCTCCGCCCACACACCGCTCTGCCGGCCTGTGATAGGAGGCTGAGCGTTGTTGGAGGAGAGACGCCGGCAGCTCATAGCGCTCTCCTCCCGCAGCGCTCGGCTGGCTGTCACACTTTCTCTCCTCTCTGCTGGAACACAGAGCAGAGCCCAGCGGGGATGAAAGAAAGCAGGGATGCGCCAATGTATCAGCAGGAAAATGGCACTTTGGGCATTATGCCAAAATTGCAATTTTTGGCCGATATATCGGTGCATCCCTAGACTTAAAGGAGAACTACGGGGTTAAGGCTTTTCCCCACAGTTCTCCTTAGGGAAACGGGAGGACACAAAATAGCGTCCTCCCGTCACCCTAGTCTCAGTATACCGCGAGCTGTAGCTCGCGGTATACTGAGACGCCGCAGTATACCGCGAGCAGCACTGAGACGCCGCAGCTTAAGCGGATCACGACAATTGTGCCGGGATCCGCCCAGCTGCGTGACTAACAGCTGGCTCTGCCTATCTAGAGGCAGAGCCAGCTGTACCCGCCCCCTCCTCAGTCCGTTCCATATCGGAGCGGGGAGGGGGGAATCCAGCCCCTCCCCTGTCACGGCAGAGAGCCGTGACAGGATCGAGAGGTGAGCGAACGCCGGTATGTGTTCGCTCACCTCCCGATCTACTGAGCCGACCTGTGACAGTCTCATTGTCACAGGTCGGCTAGAACTATGAGGTGAGTGAAAAGCACTCACCTCATAGTTCTCCTTTAACGGATCTGCTACTGTCGGCTTGGTGAAGCATACTACAGCATACCTTCAGAAGTCTAGTGTAGTTAATGCCTCGACAGGTCAGGGCTGTTTTGGTGGCAAAAGAGGGCTTACCCAATATTAGGTTGGTCATAATGTAATGTTTGATCAGTGTATATTCCATGATTATTGTTCATTAAAAAAAGCAAGAAAATATTAATGGTGAGTAGGGAAATTTTTTTTTTCTCCTTTCTAAATAAAGACCTTACACTCAATTCACAAACCTTTAACACAAGGTTTAGGACCTTTTTATTGGCCATGTGACCATAATTTTTAAATCTCGTTGGACCCAGCTGAAAAGAACTGATGCTTTTTGGAATTTAAGGATCCCTTTTCTGCTGGGTTAGCTTTAATAATTAAGCTTAATGTATGTTGCAATAAAAAAAAGTTGTTTCTTCAAGTTTCTGAACATTTTGTTTCTCAGAAAAGACTCATGTTTTGTCCTTTTGCTCTTTGTCATAGGCCAAAAGTCAGTTCAAAAGAAGATCCACTGCCAACAATGTGGAGATTCACATTCCAGTTCCAAATGATGCTGATTCTCCCAAGTTCAAGACTACAGTTGGGAGTGTGAAGTGGGTTCCAGAAAACAGCGAGATAGTTTGGTCTATAAAGTCTTTTCCAGTAAGATAAATTACCTTTTAATTGTTGTGTTTTTGTGTATAGTGTGTAGTTAATCCCTGTTCCTTGCTTGGCTAACAAAATGTCTCACCAGCCTAATAATATTGGCAGACATCTGTGAAGTATTGGAACATAGAACTTTATACACATAATTTAATGACTTTTCTATAATTTTACACATTCGGAATGCTTGAAAATGCTTATGCTCATGTTTACTTAGAAGAGAATAATATGCTGTACGTTTTGCCACAAAATGTTATATATTTAATGGACCAAGGATTAGAGGGTTTCTAGCTGGTACATAAGCAGCAGCAGTTGTCAGCAGCAGGCAGTCTCATAGCTGTTCCCTTTCTCATTGTGTAGCTGTCCCCTAAACACTTACATCTAGGTCTCCGTTAAATTTGATGTGCTTCCCAGTAACCTTCAGGCAAGTATTTGATACTTGTCTTTAGCATAAAGGCCAGAAAACATATTAATATACTTACCATTAGCTACAAAAGTATATTTAGTGCTTTTGCTTCTGGCTTGTGTAAGCTTTTGCAACCTGTTATATTTAATTGTGTGTTATATTTAGGTGGATTAGTCCAAAACAAGTGCATCAAATTTTAAAAACAATGTGACTTTACATAGAACAGTGCTGTTAGAGAATTGAACATACTTGCCCTTATTTCTGGAAACTAGGACAAACATTTAAGATTTTGTCCATTGTAAGCATGCTTCATCTTTCATACTCTAAAAATGCTACAAATGCTGCTTGCCATATAACAGCTCCAGATTTACAAATTAACCTGACAGGAAATGTAGCTAAAGATGCTTGCTGTTTTTTTTTGTGTTTTGTTTATTTTTGCCATCCATGGGAAAAAAACTTGGAATCTGATTCATGGGCACGAATGCTTTTGTCTTGCAGTCCAGTTTTAATAAATTAAGTTGTGTCCTGGCTCATATGGATGTTTCCCATAAGCACTTTCTATGTGAAGATTTTTTTTTTACAGAGTTACATGGTATATTTGTATGTTAAAGATGTACATACATCTAACTTTCAGGGTGGAAAGGAATATCTCATGAGAGCACACTTTGGGCTCCCTAGTGTTGAAGCAGAAGACAAAGAAGGAAAGCCCCCCATAAGTGTCAAGTTTGAAATCCCTTATTTTACCACTTCTGGAATCCAGGTAAATATGTTGCTTCCTATCCATTCTAGCTTCTGTAGTACAATGTTTTTGTTTTTTTATTAAGCAAGTTTTTCAAACATTTCCACAGGTTCGTTACTTAAAAATTATTGAGAAGAGCGGCTACCAGGCCTTGCCATGGGTGCGATATATAACCCAGAATGGAGGTAACTTTATTTGGCCAGAAGGCACAGAAATATAGCTTGAATATATTTTATAGATCATTTACAGTCCATCTCTTAATCCAAAATCCCATTTTGAAAATGATGCTCTGTTCACAAGCTATAATGACTACTATTTGCCATAACAACTGGTATTGTCAGCAGTGTCTGTTTATTGAAGGCTTAAAAAAATGAATATTGTATTTAGTACTGTACTGCAAAATTAATTTCTGGGAGTCTATTGAGAAAAACAAATTCAGATACAGGTGGGTTATGCTGGAGATACAGGAGGTTTGGACAGTGGAAAACAGAAAAATTGTAAGCCTCTCATACCCAGCATGCCTCAGTTTTGTGGTACTAGATACTAAGGGCATGAACAAAAAAGAGGGAAAAAAAGTGGTCAAAGAGCCACTTAAAGGACCAACGCCTGAATCTGAAGCATGAGGTTAGGCCCCCTACTAAATGGAAGAACCTGCCAAAGCAATCAAGAAAAGAGCAAGGACGATAATTCCAAGGTACCAGACCCAAAAGCAAAAGGTCACCAGCTAATGAACCAAAACCCACCAAGAACAGGTGGAACAATAACAGTTTCCCAACAGGGAAACGGGACCAACAACCTGGTGTGGCCAACTGGACAAAACACTGGGGATAAGCCCCAGAAGGAGATCACATTAAAACATCCTCTTCTGACACCCTTACGTGACGCTGAACCCTCGGAAGCATGCTGCAGAGTGTGCCTAACCCTAAACAGATATAGGAAGCTCCTACTCCCCTCAGGTCCACTGAAACATTAACAACCATTGGTTAAGGGGAAGAACATTTAACTGAAGGGTCAAGGTCATGCACCTAATTAAGGACAGGATTGGGGGAGGAAACTTAAGGACTCTCCCCAGGAGGCAGCAGTTAAGAACGGAGGATCAAGCCCTCCAAATCCCCCCAAACCCCCGTCAGGGATCACCTGCAGCAAGAAACTAGGGTGTTCTGTCTGCTGACAATCCAAGGAGGCACAGGAACCTCTAGTGATTACCTCCGCAGACCTCAAATTATCTCAGTTGCACCCAAGTGCACATGGTCTCTCCTTTCAGTGCAGCCACTACTGGTTGACAAGAAGAACTAGACTCCTATGGAATATCATCGTAATGTTCTCCGCTTCGACCAGCACAAGGGTCACGACAACCCTCACTATCACAGGTCTCCTGGTCCTTCCCAGAGCGAATGAACTGCAAATGCTAGTCCAACGGAGTCCAGAGTATGAATATTTATCGAAGGCAGGGTCCCCAGAGAGGGAAGCTGGTCAAGGGCCCATCAGAATGCACAATCGGTACCCCACTTGTAGAAGTGAGGGCACACCTTGATGCAGTGAGATTAGTTGACCTCTCAGTTTGGAATCTATGGGCTGAATGTCGGGCTCAGAGGGCCCAGGGGCATCTACTGCAAAAATAGATGAAGAGCTCCTGCTCCACCTGGTCAGTCCATGATGCTAAAATGCCACGGACAGGGATATTCAAATATCACTTTATTTTAATTTGGCATAGAAACAGCTTACGCTTTTCAGCCCAAATTCTGGGCCTTAGTCCAAGCTAATGTACACATCCACATATAATATCTTTTATATTCATGCCACCTCATAACCCATGCAGCACATAAAAATGCTTCACAAGATTAAAATAAACCCACAAATGCATGTCCACAGACTATTAGGAGAGCTGCAGTTTGAAAACAGAGGGTTAAACATTTAGGGTCCATTCACACCCAATGCGCCTGGATGCGTCAACGTATATCTAATGCACAACCCAAAAAATAATATATTTAAATTAGTATAGTTCACACCACTGCGCCACAGTTGCATGCATTTAAAAAAAAAAAGGAATGTGCATCGATGCAACAGATACGAACATATCCCCTTTTTCTTAATAAAAATCACTTGGAATGCATTCTCTTCGCTGCCTTATAAAAAAAATGCACGCAATACTAATGCATTCGTGTTTTTTTGGGGGGGGGGGGGTTCGTGTTTTTACCCGTCCTTTT